AAGCAAGGTTGGTGGCTAACTACCTCAACTAACTCACTCGCTCACTCTTTGGTAAACTACCAACAAACTGTTGAGTAACATGCGCTATAGCAATTTCATTTTTCACCACTGTGCCTCATAACTGCTTAAAAATAAAAACAAATGATATGAAGTGAAAGGAGAAAATGAGTGCAACAGCTTGAGAGGAAATTGTGGATAAATGAGAAGAGGTCATGTCAACAGTTTTGGGGCGGCGGTGGCGGAGTGGTTAGGGTCGTTCCTCTAATGAGCGAGTTGGATTGATTTCCCGCCACTCTGACATATGATGAAGCCCCACTGCCTCTGATGTGTGTCCCATCAGTGTATGAGTGTGACTTAAAGCACTGATTAGTCTCTATAGATTGATTTACTTAGCTTTGTAGAGAGATCTAATAGAGTGCTGAATGAATGTGTGTGTAAAAGGATAAATGAGGACACAGATTGTAGTATAAAGCACTTTGAGTATCCTGGTTGGATAGAAAGGTGTTATAGAAGTACGGTCCATTTACCCTTATTTAAAATAGGTAAAACAAAAACTAATCATTAACTTATCGATTTCAACACATACCAGGATACTTTTTTCACCCTTATCGCCCAGCCCTATTTTGTGTGCCTTATATTATTTGACGTAAACAACTTGAATTCTTACACTAGAACACATTCAAACTAGTATCTAAGTATCTTAGAAAACTTAAGTCTACAGACAGAACTGCAAACACACCTTAATCTTCTGCTGAATGTGCCTGAGAGCATCGGCAGTACCCATGTCACCATCTTCCTGAATGCAAACAACATCCAACTTCATCTTCACATCCAGCTTCATTTTAGGGTCTGAGCTCATCATCTTCTGCACTTCCTTAGTGGTGATCACGATGACCTCTTGAAAACAAATCATATACTGTATAAGAAACACATATTAGATTAACAAGATTGTTAAACATGCTGACAAAAAAGACAATCTAAAAATAGTACATTGTGTACTTCCAACTTGTTTATAAGCTAGCATTTTTGTAAATTAGGTGGCAGCATTATGGCACCACTTTACAAATCCGAAACATAGCTGAGTCTGTCTGTTTTAATTAGCAATGTCGACATAAATTTGTTTCTACTGGGCAATTGCTCAGACTAGCTGTGTCAGCCCAGTAAAATCTAATTGCAAAGCTTTGGCTAGCAGACAGCACATAGTAAACTGCTGGCCACACAAGATGATTACATATAGAAAACTACTTTTCTTTAGACAAGTGAGCAACTACAGGCTTTCATAATGAACAGCCCAGTTTACTGCAGGAACAGTGGTCTGGAAAATAAAAGGTTTATGTTTGTAAGGCCAGGTTTGTGGACCGGCTGCACACTGAAGTGAAAAGGTTTTATTTTTTGAAATCTGGACTATAAATCCAGACAAAAAAAATCTACACCTGACAATGGCTAATAAAGTGTTGAAACATGAGTGAAAGCAGAGCTACCAAATACGAGACCGGTTTAAATTTAATGTGTTTATTAAAAAGCATTGAATGCCCCAGTGTAACTGAAGCAGATCTTTTTATACTTGCCCTCCTTTTTAATGAACAAACATATAATTGATCTTGTGCGCATGAGTGAATTACAACACCTTAATAAACGTATAATTACTGTATTGTTTTTATTTCAGTGTTTGTCATAAATGTCTATAAAATGTTTACTATCAAAGAACACTAATCAATAGTTTGGTCTTTTTTTCTATATAAAAGGGGTTGTCAACACCTGCTTGTGAGAAAATATTAGAAGCAATATAATCTGGGAAAAGCACAGTTTTACCATAAAATGAATAAGCTATGTTTTTTTGATGACTTTGTAAACATTTGTGAATCATTTACTTTGCCAAATGACCAGATAGCCTGTATAATCTTAAAATATACACAAATGCACAAACAGAATTGCAGGCCCTTACAATAATCTACAAGAAAACTTTCAATTTTAACACTGACAGCATTACAACAAAAAATATCTACATTCACAACATGCTGGTAAAGTTCTTTTGTGGGAGGTAAAGTTTTCTTTGCAAAGGTCATTTTTTCCATTTTATGTTCCAGACTTCTCAAGTGGGCCACATAAAGCAACAAGCTGCATTTTGCCTCTTTACATTTTATGTGGAAACCTAGAACGTGTGCCCCGTTAACACTTCTAATTCTTGCCAAGGAGGGCACACAGCTCACACGAAGCCCACCCCACCACTGAATGTGATTGCTGTGYTGAATTTAGAGAGATGTTTATAAGGATGTGCAATCGGATTGCTGAATAAATACATACAATTTAAAAGTGGGATGTTCTCTGTGGTGCACATTTAAGATGTCAGATGTTAACCTAAGAAAGTGATTGAGGTGTTAATTAAATCCACAAAGCTCAGGCACAGAAAAAGATTACTCTACATATAAAAGCATCTTTGAAAATATATGATGGGTTTAATTTTGAGAAGCAAAACCAATCCGCAAAACTCTACTCTTAGATGTACTGAACTCATTAAGTTTATCATGTTATGTGCGAGTTGTGGCAAGTCTGGCAGTGTTAATTTAGGCAGGAAAGCAAAATAATAGTTATTATAATTACCACTCAATCTCACCTTCAAAGCCCACTCTCTCCAGCAGGTTCAGGGGATACCACATCAGTGGTTTGTTGCCAACAGGCAGCAAAGGTTTAGGGGTGTTGTAAATTAGATCAGTCATACGGGAACCACCTCCAGCTGCCATCAACACTGCCTGGAGCTCCATGATGTTTGCAGGGAACGACTAACAGAGAAAAACAAAAGAAAATATGATCATCTATTTTTTTTTACATTTTTTTTGTGAAGAGTCACAGGAGAACTTCAACAATCATAGTGCAAGAGGTGGGGACCTTGYACAACTTTGGACAGGTTGTCATTCCATCACAGGGGCACATACGAGACATTAAATACACCGCTCAGCTTTTATTTAATCAGTGATGTTTCTCCCAACCTACAGCTCTTCACAAGTTTAGAAAAGAAAAGTGATTGTGCCTAAAGTAAGATTTTTGTATCATCTGTCTATGGCCCAGCAACATGCAATGTGCAACATGCAATACGGTGCAAAAGTTACACATACACATATTACATATGTTACATATTTTGGGGAGGAAATGCAGTAAGGTAAAAAAATGTTTTCACAGTATATTCTTTTTTGTTTGATAAAAGGAAAACCAAAACTAAGGTTAAATCCCTATTGCTTTAAAAACAGCAAAAAGGTCTTCTAGGTAAACCTTTACAGAGTTTTTTTTAAAAAAATATCACAGATTTGTTTCAAACGACTCACAGAAATACGTTCTTCTGTGGTTGTTTCAAGATGTGTTTAAGTCTTTCTACCTCTTCATGTAATTCCAGATCAGGGYGCAGGTCATATCATCACTCCTCTTTCTTTATGCTAAAGAAACTGAACTTAAAAGCATTGGCTGTAAGTCTGAAGTCTTTATCCTGCAGTAAAATTAATATAGGGACAACATGTCTTCCTGATGATTTCAGATAATGAATAGTATTTTCTTGTGTCTCTCAGATTTGAGGACATCAACAGTCCAGACCAAAACTTTAACTCCATCTACAAAAATGAAGCACAAACCTGAAGAACATTATACTATTCCCCATTACCACTCAATATTGTGCTGATCTCCAGACCGTTGGTGAACAAACTTATCTGCTAGAGCAAAAATATTTCACGTTTAGGACTGTCAGGCCATGGAAAAATGTAGTTCATATAAAACAAATACAGTTTTATTTTTAATAAGGCTTATTTTTTTAGAATACATTGTTTTATGCAACTACAGGAAACAAGATGAGCCAAAGTGAACAGTTATTGTGATGTGAAAATTTAATAACAAGCTGAAAAAAGATGAACGAGAGCAGCGAGTGCATCATATAAACGAGAAGATAAGTAAAAGAAAAAAATAATGAAATAAGCTAACATTCAAAAACAAATCTGTATATTTACTGCAAAGGAAAAAATATATATATTAGTTTTTGTGTTTGTTTATACAAACACTTAAAGTAGATAAACTAGTAAAACTGTATTTAAAACATTTGTATTGTTTGACTAAAACTATAACTATTTATTTTGGCCATTTTGCTTTCTATTTTATGCAACTGGTAACTATTTTTTATTTGAATATCTTAGTTTAAAAAATGTCAAACATGAAAGAGTAAGTAACCATAAATTTAAATATAATAAACAAAAATAAATAGATCACACAAATCATTAAATAATTGCTGACATTACAATTCGTAACATTTTAACGATTTAACTTTTAATTGACAGGTTTTGATTACATTAATGCCAGTGACAGCTTAAGTACAGCTTGAAAAAAATGTATGGTTACCTTTTTTTGTGTGCAGAAAGACTTAAATGCTTGCGGAAGTCAGTGTTCAAACTAAAGCATAGCTGTCTTCAGTGAGTTGATGGCACACGAAAAATAAGGGGGAAAGTGTCAGTGTTGGCACATTTACACTTCCTTTCTGCAACATGTTACAATACAGTTAACTTAATAATGTGGCGATTCAACACACGGGATTCAACAAGCTGTACGTCGATGATTCAACAAATATAATGGCTATAAGTAGCTAGAGCAGAGTAAAATATCACATTTAAATAAGTAATTCTGTAGTTACCTGCTGCTATTGTCTCCTCGATTCCAGCTGCCTGTAAATGACAGCGGTGGCAGTCGCATGTAACTGTAGTTAGCACTTGGCTAACTACTGGCACAACGACAAGCACGAGACCGCGGTAATAAAGACAGATCAAACTCAACCGAATACGTCTTTTGGAAAGAAAACAGCTAAGCTGCAGAGTGTTGGTGGGAAAAATAAAATTACTTATTTATTTTTGCTACAACTGCGCAAAGATAAGCTAACAGTTAGCATAAATGATGACATCTGGGAGTGTTCAGCGAAAACCGTCCGTATGGAAAACCACTTGCTCAGCTCTATGGTTCCTACATGAAAGATGTTGGACTGGTTGCGATGCCTCTTTTTATGAATGAATGAATGAATGAATGACTGAATGAATGAATGAATGAATGAATGAATGAATGAATGAATGAATGAATGAATGAATGAATGAATGAAGATTGAGAAAGATTCAGAGCAATGGAGCGCAGTAAAATCTAACTTTTCCACTAATGAGAACGACTAAAAGGGAAACTATACAAATAAAAAAATACAAAAAACTAATATAAAAACAACAACAAAAAAAAAAAACTTCAAACATCCTCATTTTATTCATCATCACAAGTCAGCTACAACAATGCAGTTGAATATTTTTACAAACCTAAGCTCAATCATCACGACAATTATATAGACGTGTGCACATTTGAAAAGTTCTTTTGACAATGTTTAAAGAGAGGTGGGGTTTACACTGACACCAAAAGTAGTGAGCATATTAGCAGCCAGCCT